GTGCTTTTCATAAGTCGCCGCACTGGAGCGAGCGCCGAATTTGGAAGTTAGGGTGGCGGCCGCGGTGCGCTGCGGGCTGGGTAGCTCGGGGCAGAGCGACTGTCGAGCGTGCGCGAGGCGCGGGGCTCCCCCTCCGGGCGGGCTGGGGCAGAGGAGCCCAGTTTAAGAGCAGTGAATACTTACTGAGCGCTCGTGTTTTTTTAAAAAAAACCTGGTTTTTCTCAGTACACCTTTAAAGGTTTTTAAATTGTTTCATATCTGGTCAAATTGAGATTTTTTTAAGAACTTCACTTTTAATTTGTAATCAAAGTTTATAACTTGATTTTTTCAAAATCAACAAACTGCAAGCACCTGTTAGTGTCTTAAATAGTAAATAAAGAAAGAAATTAAGCACTTCATTGCGTCTTTTGGGTGTGGAAAGAAAAATGGGCAGGCGTCCTCCCAAGTTTGAAGTCACTGCAAGAGATAGGTAAAGAGGACACAAGTAACTACCATACACAGTGACTAATGCTGCAAGCATTTATTGGACGCCTAGTGTATGCTGAGTACTGTGCGGAGGAGCTGGGGATGAAGCCTTCCTGTAACCTCATCACTGCCAGTCTGAGGCAGGACAATCTACCTAGCAACACTGTCTCGAAGTGAGACATAAAGGGCTGAGGCGGCACCTCAGTGGCAGAGCAGCCCTAGGTTCAAGCCCCGGAACGCCCTCCCCCCCAAAAAAAAGCCTTTTGGCCGAAGCGGTGTCTCAGGCACTTGGGAAGCTGAAGCAGGAGAATCACTTAAGCCTAAGGAAGAGCAACCTGGGGAACATAGCAAGACTCCATCTTATAAAAACAAGAAAAAACACAAAAAACACAGTTCCTTCAGGACACCCACTCCAGAGGAAGGAACAGCATTAAACCACGGTGACCATGCCTGAGACCACCGCAACTCCGCCAGAGGATGGACATGCCAAGTAAGGGAGGAATAACACCGGCCAAACCTCCCAGGAGCCCTGAGTTCCTTCTTGAAGGGTCAGTGTGAGTCGCAGGGAAACATCCGCAGTGGGAGCGGTAGTTTGTGCAGAGACAGAGGTGCAGGTGAGCTGGCTGGTTCCCACTGCAGCCTGGTGACTAGTGCGACGGGGCCGGAAGATGTGCAGGGGGAGCTCTGAAGGCTTGTGCTGTTCCCAGAGACCCCTGGAGCCCCGCAAAGGGCATGGCAAAGCCTCGAGCCTCGCGTTTCGGCAACACTGAGCAGTGCAGGACGGACTCCGCCGGCTGTGGGGGGCCCGGGCTCCGATCAGCGGAGTTGTCCTCACGCAGCGGTGGTGAAGCTTTTAGGGCTTTCAGTGTATAAACAGCCCAGTGCGCACGCGTGCCGTAGTTTCACCGGCACTGCCCTAAGGGAGTGAGCCAGGACAGTGAAGACGAAGGTCACTCAGGAAATGGCGCAGACCTGACCCGCACCCGCGAATTCTGAGTGCTCTGAGGCTGCTTGACTCTGACTGGAGAGTGGCCCTGGGGCCCTGGGCTGGAGGGTGTGAAGAGGCTGGGCCAGCTTTTGAGTGCTGAGGGGGCAGCGCAGAGGCACCAGAATCACTTCAGGGGGCGGTGAGGGAGGGAGCCTCGCTCTGGAAGGGCTGAGGAGCCGAGACTGAGAAACAGAACCTGGAGGCAAACCAGCACAAGCGGGGTCCGGGAAGGGAAGTAATGAAGTATCCCAGGAGAGATCGCAAAGGCTGCCGAGGCAGCAGGAATGCTTCAGAGGGGCCCAGCGAAGGCAGGACTCAAGTTACTTTTCAGATGCAGAGCTAGTGGGTCAGTGGCAACTTTGACAAAAGTAGCGTTCTCTAGGAGACATTACCACATCAGATTCCAGTACAGGTTGAGTCTCTTATCTGAAATGCTCGGATTTTGTATGTTTGTTTGTCTTTTTGAGACAAGGTCTCCCTGTACAGTTCAGGATGGCCTTGAGCTCACTTTGTAGCCCAGGCTGGTCTTGAACTCACAATGATCCTCCTGCCTCAGCCTCCCGAGTGCTGGGATTACAGGCATGAACCACCACGCCCATCCCAGAAGGATTTTGGATTGTGGATATTTGGGTTTTTTTGTTTGTTTGTTTTTGGTTTTTGCCCCCCCCCCTCCCACCAGGAATTGAACTCACGACCTTGCGCTTGCCAGGCAGGTGCTGTGCTGCTGAGCTAAATCCCCAGCCCCAGATTGTGGATATTTGGATATATATAATGAGCTACCTTGGCAATAGGACCCCTGTCTGAGGTGAAATTTATATACAATTGATATACACATAGCTTGAAGGTAATTTTTTTTTTCCCTCAAGCAGTGGTTAGCTGGTTGTGGTGGTACATACCTGTAATTCCAGCACTCCTGTAATCCTAGCACTCGGGAGGCTGAGGCAGGAGGATCACTGTGAGTTTGAGGCCAGTCTGGGGTACAAAGTGAGCTCAAGGCCAGGATGAACTGCATAGTGAGACCCTGTCTCAAAAAGACCAAAAACAAACAAACAGCAGTTATAGCGGGTTGGTGGCGCATACCTCTAATTCTAGCACTTGGGAGAGTGAGACAAGAGGATCGCTGCAAGTTTGTGTATCGCTGGGATACACAGCCAGCCTGAGTTACATAGTAAGACCTGTCTCAAAAAACCAAAGTAGGGCCAGGCGTGGTGGTACACGCCTGTAATCCTAGCACTCGGGAGGCTGAGGCAGGAGGATCGGAGCGAGTTTGAGACCAGCCTGGGCTACAAACTGAGCTCAAGGCCAGCCTGAACTGCATAGCGAGATCCTGTCTCAAAAAGACAAAAAAAAAAGCAGTGGTCAAGTTTGAGAAAGTGAGAGTGAAGCGTGAGGGAGAAATTGGCTTTGCGGAGTGAGCTTGGGGCGCGTGAAAAGAGAAAGAGTAGAAGCAGAACCAGAAATGTGCACTGCATCTGGGCAGCGCAGCAGGGCTATGTGGAAAGTCAGGAGAGCGCGAGGCAATTTTGTACCATGGCGTTGACGGTTCTGTGCATGAGACAGTTTCTTGATGTGGGATTTCTACTTGAGACGTTACATTGGCACTTACCAAGCTGCAGACGGTAGAACATTGTGGATTTTTTAGAAACGCAACCTGTGTGTTCTAAAAGGCGTGGGGGGTTGGGGAAGCTCAGTGGTAGCGCTCTGGCCTAGCACCCACAGAGCCCTCGGTTCTGTCCCAAGCACCACGAGAAGAGCAGAGCAAAGGATGGGAGATGAAGTGTTGCTGGTCCAAGCTACACTGTGAGGCTCAGTGGAGAAGCGCAGGAAATAGCGATGCAGATTGGGGAGTGCTGCTTTTGCCTGGTGTTCAGGGCCGCTTAGGTGATAAATGAAAGCCAGCGCAGCTTTTCCTTTCCTTTTGTCTCAGGTCCAGAGACTAAACCCAGGGCCCTCACACGCCCAGCGGCCGCCCCCTTTGGCACAGGGTTTTGCTGAGTTGCCCGGGCTGGGCTCGAATGTTCGTTCCTCCTGCCTCCGCCTCCCAGAGCTCTGGGTTCCGGGCGTGCACCCCAGCACTGGCCGCGCCGCCCCTGTGGCCGTCCTTACCTTGCTCTGTTCCTCGGCGGGACACCTTCACAGCTGGGGGCGGGTGGTGCTGTGCCACGCGTGCAGCAGAGCGGCTGCCCATTTGCTTCCTGGGTAACTGGACGTGGCCCGCGGGTTTCGTACGCGCACACCCCAAGTTGAAGTCATAACCCCCCACACAGCGGAGGGGAGGGGAGGGGAGGGGAGCTTTTGCCGTCATTTCCTGACCTGCGACTGGAGCCCCTAGCCAGCCCGGCTGACTAGCAAAGAACAGCAGTGGGCAGTGAGCTCTCCTTCTGATCCTCACCTCTGCCTCCGCCCTGGAATCCTGCTGCCCTGCCCCGCCCTGCGCTGTCTGGGCCTTGACTGCCTGGCTGGGTGTGGCTCCATCGAGCCCTGGAGCCTCGGTCCTGGACTGACCGCGGCCCTGGCTGCCCCAGCTGCTCCTGGCCCACCTCCCCTTCCTCCAGGCGCCAGCCAAGAAGCGCGTTCTCAGTTCCCAGCCGCTGTGCATCCCACAGCTGGCGTGTGTGGCACTGGCACCCCAGCAGATGCCTGGGGACAGGGTCCATGCCCCCCCCCCCCCCCCCCCTTGAATGCCATCTCCACAGGGAGACTGGCGCCTGGGGTGGGGCCAGGCCCTCCTCACTCCACCAGTAGGCTTTAGCTTCCCTTCTGTGTTTCATTTTGGTTTCTGGTTTTTTAGCTACATAGTCCAGGCTCGTCTTGAACTTATAATCCTGCCCCAGCGTCCCGCGTGTTGGGGTGACAGGCGTGCGGCACCATGCCCGGCCTTCAGCCTGTCCCTTCCCACGAGAGCCTGCAGCACACTGTAGCCGCTTGCGCTCCCTGGAAGGCGCCAGGGCTCTCTTGCCTGTGTCCGGCGCAGATGGAGCGTAAGAGGCGGCAGCACTGCTCCCAGGCAGCGGAGCCGGCGCAGTCTCGGGAGTGACTCTCGGGAGTGACGGCCGGGTTAGAAGAATGGCAGACAGAGCCTGGGGGAGGCCTGTGAGCCTTGAGGGGAGCTCGGGCGGCTCTGGAATTGAGAGGTAAGAAGTCGTGACGCCTGCTTTACCTTCCAGAGAAAGTGGTGAAGAAAGGGAAGAAGGACAAGAAGACCAAAAAGACGGTGAGAAAACAAAGGTTCTGGATGAGACCTGGCTGGGCCTTTGGGCAGAGCAAGTGGGCACATGCAGGAGGCGGGCACAGAGGGCACCCCGGAGAGGGCAGGGGCTGAGGGGGGCCGGGACCGTGCGGGAGGCGGAGGTGGCACAGCGAGACCCGCTCCAGGCCTGAAGGGTGGGGCACCGCGGTGGGGCCTGTGAGGAGGGCCTGACGGTGGCCGTGTCCGGCCCTTTGCAGTTCTTCGAGGAGCTGGCGGTGGATGGGAAGCAGGCTGGCGAGGAGGAGAAGGTGCTCAGAGAGAAGGAGCAGCAGCAGCAGCAGCAGCAGCAGGTACGAGTGCTGGCCGGGGCAGCCCTGCGGCGCCCAGGCCCCAGGGACTTGGGCCGTCTCTGCGCAGCCGGGCTTCGTTCCCACGCGCTCTCTCTTTCAGCAGCAAAAGAAGAAGCGGGACACCCGGAAGGGGCGGCGGAAGAAGGATGTGGATGACGACGACGGCGAGGAGAAGGAGCTCATGCAGCGCCTTCAGAAGCTCTCGGTGCCAGCCAGCGACGAGGAGGACGAGGGTGAGCGGGCTGCAGTGCCGGGGACGGTGCCGGGGGCCCGTGGGAAGCCTCTCTCCTCTCACCTGCCCCGTCTCCCCCATCAGTGCCTGTCCCGACACCCCGAGGAGGAGGAGGAGGAAAGAAAGCCAAGGTGAGCTGTCGGGGAGCAGAGGCCCCGGTGCGGCGTGGCCCCCACTGAGCTTTGTGCCGTCCTGCTCTAGGGCGGTAATGCTTTTGCAGCCCTGATTCAGGATCAGAGTGAGGAGGAGGAGGAGGAGGAGGAGGAGGAAGAGAAACACCCTGCTAAGCCTGCCAAGCCGGAGAAGAACCGGATCAATAAGGTGATGGCGGAGGCCCTGCCACTCTCCGGGGCCCCTCAGCCCTCGGCCGGGGCAGCTGCCTTAGCGGCCCCTCTGGCTGTGTCCGTGTAGTGTCGCATTCCTCTCTGTCTCTCGGTACCCAGGGATTGGTTGTGTTGCTTGGTCTTGGAGTCTAAAGTGAAGGCCTTAGTCCTGCCTTCCACTTGGGACCTTGCCCACCCCTCCACAGCCTGGCCCTGACCTGGGTCGCTGCGGACGCGTCCTTGGGAGCTCTGTTCTCGGCCGTTGCTTCCCGCTGCCCTTGTCCAGCGCTCTTCCCAGCCTAGGCTCCCCAGCGTTGGGTGCCCCCCGCCTGCACACTGCCTGCGGCTTCGCCGTGCCATCCACCTCTGTCTCCTCTGTCTGGTGTGGGGCAGGAGCAGGGCTCAGCGGCGTCCAGTGTAGTGAAGGGGGCGAGCAAGTTAACGTGTTTGTGTGTGTGTGTATGTGCGCGTGCGTGTCACTGTGTCCTGCAGGCCGTGTCTGAGGAACAGCAGCCTGGGCTCAAAGGCAAGAAGGGAAAGGAGGAGAAGTCAAGAGGAAAGGCCAAGGTATGAGAGTGAGTGGGAGGGGCGGGTTCTGGGGCCGGGAGTGGGGGCGTTCTCAGCCGGTCTTTCCCTGGTAGCCTCAAAACAAATTTGCTGCTCTGGACGATGAAGAGGAAGGTGGAGAAGACGAGGAGGAAATAACAAAAGAGAAGGAGCCTCCCAGACAGGGGAAGGAGAGGAAGGCAGAGCAGGTGCGTGCTGCTGCGGGGGGCTTTGCCTCCGAAGCCCCGGGGCAGCCGGCCCCAGGGAAGCCACGGAGAACACACACTGGCTCTGCGGCTGTACGCGATCTCTGTGCCTTGTCCTTTTCTAAAAAAACACCTTCAAAAGTGTAACGAGGGCATGTTTCTCTTGCGGGCTGTAGCGCAGGCGGTGTAGGTTGAGAGGAAAGCCCTCCCTGGCGTTGGTCTCCACAGCCTGGGTCCCGGCTGTGCAGCTCACGGCTGTGTGACTCAAGTGCCTGTCCCCACCTCTGGGGTCCCTGATCCGAGAGCAAGGCGCTGCCGACCCCTCTGGCTCTCCAGTCCTGTGATCCTGCGGGGTTTCTCAGTGGCAGAGAGAGATGGGGCCACCTGCCCTCCCTGTGCACATCCCACGGCCTTCGCAGAGCTTCCTCGACACAAGTGAAACTGCCCACCTCCCTTACAGCCCCTTGGGAGCTGTGGGTTCCCTCCCGCAGAGCCACACCTTCTGTGAGGCGGAGTTTGGTGCAGGGCCGCAGAGCCCCCGCGGAAGCTGGGATGAGACCAGGCCGGGCTCCGGGCAGGATGACAGGCAGGCAGTCCTGGGAGGGCCCCGCCCTGCTGCTCTGTTCTTCACCCTCCGGTTCTCACAGGCTCCCGAGGACCGAGGCGAGGGTGAGGGCCAGGCAGACGACCCCTGTGCTCACCTGAGCAAGAGGGAGAAGAAGAAGCTGAAGAAACAGGTGAGTCGCGGGCTCCCACTGGCCAGGTGAGGGCTGCACTCGTCTCTGAGCTCGGGGCTTGCGGCCTAGAGAAGGGCTTGGAGAGCCAGCCAGGGTGCTGCACGCCTGCGGTCCCAGCCGTCGGAGGCAGAGACGGAACTGCTGGGAGTTCCGGGCCAGCCTGGGCTACACCGCAGGACCGTCTCAGCAAAAAGAGAGAGAAGAGGAAAGAACTTCGAGGACTACCTGGAACCATGCTCGGAGCATGGTCGCTGTCCGGCGGCGTGGGCTTCTGTCATGGTGAGGGGATGGCTTCAGACACAGCTTTTTCTTTCTTCTCAGATGGATTATGAGCGCCAGGTGGCTTCATTAAAAGCAGCTAATGCCGCCGAGAATGACTTCTCTGTGTCGCAGGCTGAGTTGTCCTCCCGCCAGGCCATGCTGGAAAATGCGTCTGACATCAAGGTGAGGTCGGGGAGGGGGCCCTGCTGCTTGGGGGTCTGGCCCCTGCCTTTCCTGAGGGGAAGGAGGCTTCTTACCCCACCCCTCCCCACCCCACTGGCTGCAGCTAGAGAAGTTCAGCATCTCGGCCCACGGCAAGGAGCTGTTTGTCAACGCTGACCTCTTCATCGTGGCCGGCCGCCGCTACGGGCTGGTGGGCCCCAACGGGTGAGGACCGGGCACACGGGCTGCGGGAGAAGGGCGCCCTGCGGAGGGAGGCCGCGGCTCACAGCTCTCCTTCCCAGCAAGGGCAAGACGACGCTCCTCAAGCACATCGCCAACCGCGCCCTGAGCATCCCCCCCAACATTGACGTGCTGCTGTGCGAGCAGGGTGAGGCCGTGAGGCCGGGTCTGGGACGGGACAGGTGGCGGGGCAGCGGAGGGATGCGTCTGGGGGCACCCAGGGCAGGATTTGCAGGGCAGGGTGTGCAGCCCGGAAGTGGCCTGAAGGGGGGCGGCCTGACTGTTCCCCTTCTCCCAGAGGTGGTAGCGGATGAGACGCCCGCAGTGCAGGCCGTGCTCCGGGCCGACACCAAGCGGCTACAGCTGCTGGAGGAGGAGCGCCGGCTGCAGGCTCAGCTGGAGCAGGGGGATGACGCGTCTGCCGAGAGGCTGGAGAAGGTGAGCGGACGGGCCGTGAGGGCTGCAAAGTCCCAGCCCCGGCCCCGGACGAGCGCCCTCCTCCCTCCTCCCAGGTGTACGAAGAGCTGCGGGCCATGGGGGCGGCGGCGGCGGAGGCCAAGGCACGGCGGATCCTGGCTGGCCTGGGCTTTGACCCCGAGATGCAGAATCGGCCCACACAGAAGTTCTCGGGGGGCTGGCGCATGCGCGTCTCCCTGGCCAGGTGCACCCGCCCTCCTGCCCTGCCCTCCCTGGGCCTCTGAGGAGTTGGGGGGCGGCTCCTGCCAGGGCTGTGGCCCTGAGCTGGGCAGCAGCCCCCTCCAAGCTCACGCTGCTGCCCCTTCAGGGCGCTGTTCATGGAGCCCACGCTGCTGATGCTGGACGAACCCACCAACCACCTGGACCTCAACGCTGTCATCTGGCTCAATAAGTGCGCGCCCTCGCCGGCACCCTCTGCGCGCCCCGCTCCCCGTGCCCTGGGCTGCTCTTCACTCTGCCTGCCGTCCCCGCTGTCCCTGTGCCTCCCTGACCCCCCCGTCATGACCCTTCCACCTCTTCCCTAAACCCAGCTACCTCCAGGGCTGGCGCAAGACGCTGCTGATCGTCTCCCACGACCAGGGCTTCCTGGACGACGTGTGCACGGACATCATCCACCTGGATGCCCAGCGGCTGCACTACTACAGGGGCAACTACAGTGAGCGGGGGCAGGGCAGGGCGGGGCGGGGCGGGCTGCGGGGCGGTGTGGGCGCAGGCTCCGAGGAGGGTAGCACTGAGGCCCGGCTTCCGCTGCCAGTGACCTTCAAGAAGATGTACCAGCAGAAGCAGAAGGAGCTGCTGAAGCAGTATGAGAAGCAGGAGAAGAAGCTGAAGGAGCTGAAGGCCGGTGGCAAGTCCACCAAGCAAGCGGTGAGCGCCGCGCTCTGGGCCCCGGGCGATGGGCTCGGGGGCCGTCCTGGGGCTGCGGGCCACTGTGGGCCTCTGCCTCCTTCCTTACCAGGAGAAGCAGACGAAGGAGGCCCTGACACGCAAGCAGCAGAAGTGCCGGCGGAAGAACCAGGACGAGGAGGCCCAGGAGGCGCCCGAGCTGCTGAAGCGGCCGAGGGAGTACACCGTGCGCTTCACCTTCCCTGACCCGCCGCCGCTCAGCCCCCCGGTGCTGGGCCTGCACGGTGAGGCCCCTGGGGATGGGGCAGCAGGCGCGGCGGGCTCCCCGGGGCGGCGCCAGCGTGACTTGCTGCTGTTCTGCTCACAGGGGTGACGTTCGGCTACGAAGGGCAGAAACCACTCTTCAAGAACCTGGACTTCGGCATCGACATGGACTCGAGGAGTGGGTTGGGAGAAGGGGTGGGCAGGGGGGCCGAAGGTGAGGCCTCCGGTCCGACCGCTGGTCTCCTCTGCAGTCTGCATCGTGGGCCCCAACGGCGTGGGCAAGAGCACACTGCTGCTGCTGCTAACCGGCAAGCTGGTGCCGGTGAGTCCCGCCGCAGAGGAAGGGCCTTGCCGCGGTGCGGTGCTGGCACCTCCTGGGACGGGGCAGGAGCCGGGCCCAGCGCGGTCCAGGAGAGGCCTGGCCGAGGCCCCGTGTGTCCCATGACGTACAGCTCACACGGCCCGAGCCAAGAGGAAAACAGTGGCAGTGATGCTCAGGCGGCCGCTCCTGTTCCTCAGCGAGCGCGTACTGGTTTTCTAAGAACGTGGGATGTTGTAGGAGCTGTTTGGGGGGCATTGGGTGTTTCCGCGCTGCGTGGCGTGTGTAGACGTTCATTTTCTGTGGTCTCATACTTGCTAGTGGCAGCTGCCTGGAGCTGCGCTCGGCTGGGGCTTTGGCAGGGTTGCCACACAGAGCGTTAGGAAGGCTGTGGCAGCTCCTTGCTGCAGGGGCCCGCCCTGCCTGCATGTGGCCGGCCCCACCCCCACTTGCCTCTGCCCGTTGTCCCCAGCCCTCCGCTCCTGGGTGCCCCTGCTCCCGGCCGGATTCTGACCCTTGTTTCCCTGCAGAGAGTTCCGGCTGCGGAGGTGCGGCGCCCTTGCCCGCTCCTCCGCTGAGCGCTCCATCTTTCCTTGCAGACGCACGGGGAGATGAGAAAGAACCACCGGCTGGTGAGTGGGCTTTGGAAGTGAGGGGTGGAGACCTGACGCAGGAAGCGCGGCCCTGACGGATCACCTCGCTCTCCTTGGGCAGAAAATCGGCTTCTTCAACCAGCAGTACGCGGAGCAGCTGCGCATGGAGGAGACGGCCACCGAGTACCTGCAGCGCGGCTTCAACCTGCCCTACCAGGACGCCCGCAAGTGCCTGGGCCGCTTCGGCCTGGAGAGCCACGCGCACACCATTCAGATCTGCAAGCTCTCGGGTACCTGGCGGGGCGGGCGGGCGTGCGCCCTCCTCCCGTGTGTGCCTGGCCGCCGCCGGGGCACACGGTGGCACAGCTCCCCGTCCTCTCCGCAGGTGGGCAGAAAGCCCGGGTTGTGTTCGCAGAGCTGGCCTGTCGGGAGCCCGACGTCCTCATCCTGGTGCGTGGCTGAGGCGGGGCGGGCACTGCCGGGGCGGGGGTGGGGGCTGCGTCCTCACCTGGGGGTCCCTCCCCTCCTCCTCCGCAGGACGAGCCGACCAACAACTTGGACATCGAGTCCATCGACGCGCTCGGGGAGGCCATCAATGAGTACAAGGGAGGTGAGTGGGCCGGCGGGGCGCGCCCGGCGCCCGTGGGCGGACCCCCTCTGACGCCCTTCCTCCTCTCCGCCGCGCCCTTCGCAGCCGTGATCGTGGTCAGCCATGACGCTCGGCTCATCACGGAGACCAACTGCCAGCTGTGGGTGGTGGAGGAGCAGAGCGTCAGCCAGATCGACGGCGACTTCGAGGACTACAAGCGGGAGGTGCTGGAGGCCCTGGGCGAGGTGGTGGTCAGCCGGCCGCGCGAGTGACGCCGTCCTGGGGCCTGCGCTCTCGGGCTCCGGCCACGCGGCCTTTGCCCGGA